TCGCCCCCCCCCCCCCTCCTACCTCTTCGTCAACCCCGAGTACTTCATCAGGTCGCTCTTCGAGTAAATCCTGCGCCCGTTCTCGACCTTGCCGATCGCAAGGTACTCCTTGGGCACCTCCGGCGCGTTCGGCCTCGCCGGGTTGCACTGCGGGAGGCTCGGGGCCGTCCCGCCCGCGGAGCCACCTCCGCCGCCGCCGCCGCCGCCGCCGGCCGCGCCGGCCCCGCCCCCCCCGCCCCCCGCGCCGCCGCCTAGCGAAGCACCTCCGGGGCGCAGGCCCGATCCGCCGCCGGGGCGGAGGCTTGGGCCACCGGGGCGGAGCCCCATCACGCCCCCCGGGCGCAGGGAAGCGGTCGGTTTGGGCTGTATTGTTCGTGTATGGCGTTTCACGGTGTAGGGGGTGCAAAACGTGTGCCGAGAGAGAGAGAGGGGGGGGGGGGTACTCTTATGTTTTGTATGCCTTCGCCGTTAGACCATTGGCCGAGAGAGGAGGGAGCGCGCGGAAAATACGTGAGAGAAGGTGGGTGCGCGAGACAATAAAAACGGGATTGTTTCTTTAGGCCTTGGGGGCTACTGTATTTCAGACCTACCTGCCGTCTGGTTCTGATTCTCCTTCTCTGTCCCTCTCCACCTGTGAGTCCTCTCCTACAGCACGGCCTACTATTACCCCCCACACACACTTGGGTTAATGATCCATCGACCCCTGTCTTCCTTCCTCCCTTGCTATCCGCTCTCACCACGGGAGGCTCATCGTGCCAGCTGTCCGTCGTCGGGGGCGGCCGGTCCCCGCTGGCCACGGCCGCATTTCTAGCCGCCTGCGCCGCGGCCTGAGCTGGAAACATCATCTTCTTTGCCGGCGCTGGGGCGGCGGCGGCGGCGGCGGCGGCGGGGGGGCNGGGGGGGGGGGGGGGGGGGGGGGGGGGGGGGGGGGGGGGGGGGGTGGTGGTGGCACGTAGGCATCGTTCGTGAGGTTGTGTGTGTGTGTGGGGTGGTGTTACATTTTCATGCCCGTTGGGACCCCAGTGCTCGCGCGAAGACATGAGTGTCTGCGGGCGTGACACGCCAGCACCTGCTTGCCCCGATCGTTTTCCAACAACCGCGGCATGTGTCCAACAACCGCACAAATCTTGGTAGCCAGTGCTTCAATACTCTTGAGATGGAAATGACGACTCAGGGGTTTGAGACATTAATAATAAAACTGCCAGAAACAGGCCATTAACTGCTGTACTGCTGCAGGTCAGCACCAGACCATCACACACCTTTGTGGTGGTACTACTAGCTGTCTTCCTCTTGGCTGCCTCCTTTGCGGCAGAGGCCGCTTTTTCCTCAGCGTCGGCCTGCAACCACAGGAGAGCAAAAAAAAAAACTGCAGTTACACATTTGTATTGCTATCAGTGGATAGACTGTTCGGGGGGAACAGTTCTTCTATTTGGCGGCAGCTTTCAACCTACCCATCAGAGAGCACGTGTGCATAGCAAGAATAAGTACTTCCTCACAACTCGTACTCGGCGATGGGCATGGGCGGGATATCGCCAACAAGACACACACGTCGCTTGACCTAGAAAGCTTGTGTGATAGGAGATACACTTTGCACTACTGCCCCGTATTCTCACACCAGGCGGGACGAGCTGGCCACACTTCCCTACTGCCTGACGGCGATGTCACGACAAAGGAGGAAACCCGAAAAGACTTGGGGCGCGCGCGGGGGGGGGGGG